TGTTCATTGCTGGAGCGGACTTGTTCACGGGAACATATCCGTAAACCAGAATGTTCTACTCAGAAACCCAGCGCACGGTCAGCTGGTCAAAATCTTGTGTTCATTCTATGAGCGGGTGTGTCAGTGAAGGCTCGCCTGTAGACCAAGAAGTTCATCAGAAAACCCAACAACTTAGTCGTTGGTCACCACGCGATAACACGGTCGTTCTCGAAGCGGCTGCATCAACGCAGACTCACCGATAAAACTATATTTACTTCAAAGACAGTAAGTATAAATAAGTCATTTTGCTTATCAATGAGCAGCCATGCCCAGCAGCGCATCGAGATCATGGGCTAAAGACTTAGTAAGAAAACGGTCCGTCCGAAAGACAAAAACAAAAATCATAAAAGCTGTTTTCATAAACTCCATCTCAAAAAACAATGATAAATTAAAACAAAAAGATAAACACCATCCAAGCTAAATCAAATACTAAGTCTGAAATCGAAAATACAGCAAAACACCAAAACAAAAAGCTAAGACGCGATCTCCTCAGCGTCTTCAACAATCTCAACATCATGCTCAGAATGACCCTCGGCCGCGGAGTCTGACGAGTCATCATCGCTAGAAGAATCAGAAGAACTCAAACCCGAAGCAGTATCCAACTCATTAGTCTGACCGTCGCTGGTACTAACGGGAGAAGCCTTAAGGATCTCCTCAAGTTCGCGCACATGATTGGCAAACACCTTATCAGCAAGTACCAAGCCCGCCTCCTGCTTCTTAAGAGCTACGAGCTCATCGCCAAGATCAGGTGCCTTGTCACTCTGAAGCAACTTCACGAACTCAATGATACTCCGGACTTCAGCAAGATTGATTATATCAATTCTCGGCTGACCATTGATCGCTCTGATCTTCTCTCTAGCACAGATGATCCTCGCCTCATACTTCGCCGCCAGATCGCGCTTCGCTTCGTCGACAGCCCGCTGCACAGCCGCATCTTGAAGCTTGGCAGCAACATCTAAGCGGGTGGTAAGGTCAGAGACTTCCTTCTGAAGACGCTTCCTCTCAGATTATGACTCTGTGAACGTCCCATCCATCTCGCGATGCCTATCCTCGATTTTCTTCATAGCAGCTTCAAGAGTAGCAACGCGATCCTCTGTGTCCCTTCTCAGCTTCTTATGATTGTCGCAAACCTTCTGAACGTTACTAAGCTGGCGATTCTTCGAAACTGTCACTTCGTAGTCAATGGCGAGCTTGTTAAACGACGCAAGGAACTAAAAAAAAAAAATCGCGAAAAACAAGTTAAAAAAAAAAAATAGAAATAAGGAACAAGGAAAATCATTATCTTGCAATAAAGTTGCGAAGTCTTACCTTCATACAATGAAGGGCCGTAGTTGAATAAGAATCTTCCTTCGACATATCTCCTGGAGGTGGAAACTCTGTACCCGGAAAGACGATCTTGGACAGATGCGATGCTGCCGTCGCAGCATCACCAAAAGGAATAGTCGAAGTCGTCCCCGCGCGGTCACGCTGAAGATTCGAATTGTGCCTCGATCTATTCTGGTCATCTCTATCAGTAGCACCTCCCTCCTTGTCTTCGCGAGGACGCCTATGGCTTGACTCCACGCCATCATCTCTCCTCCTCGCGTCATCGTGACGCCGCTGTGATGACTCAGATCGACGATCGACGGCAGCAGTAACATTTCGCTCTAACGCCGAACGACGCGGCTTAGGCACAGGGGTAGCAGTCGTACCAACTCTAGGAACCGACGTCAACGGCCTAGCTTGCTCCAACACCCTTGCGTTAGACTCCAGTCCGGTCTCCATGGCTCTCCTCTCACGAGCTGATGGTTTCTTCATGTTATCAGACATCTTTGACGAAGAATACGGCGAAGTGATTCCAAAGCGACGAGCTAGCACTTCTTTGACTCTGAGCAAAGAAAAATCCTCCCTCTAGCTACACTTCTCAGCAGCAAAGGCGTCGCGAAGAACAAACAAGTCTGTAGGCAACTTCTTAATGCGGCTTAAAACTGCAAAACAACAAACAAGAAGAAGAGTTAGAATTGCAAATTTAAAAAGAGTAAACAAGCGAGACTGAGCAGACAAAAAATATGGCTAAGTCAAAAGGCAGCAACACGGCAGGGTCGACTACCGCGAGTCCCCCATCTCTCTCGAATTCTGTCAAGGTGATCGCCGCCAACTGAAGCTTCATTGATTTTCACGAAAAAGAACTTTTCCGCCCAAAAAAGATCTCTGTCGGGAAGATCCACAATGATCTGAAAATCCGATTTTCCCTTGAGATAATAACAGGGTTTTCCCTTGGAACCAGTCTTGCAAGCCTTCAAGAAACTCAA